TGTGTGTGTGTATATATATATATATATAGTTTGAGATATGGATCAAAGTTCATACTTTTTGCTTGTGAATATCCAGTTATTCCAGGACAATTTGTTGAAAAGACTGTCTTTTTCTACTGAATCACCTGTTGTACCTTTATTCAAAATCAATTAGCCATATATGTGAAGCCTTTCTGGATTCCATAATTCTGTTCTATTGACCTATGTCTTTAGCTATTGATCTATGTCTTTAGCTATGTGATTCCAACCCACTGTCTTGATTACTGTAGCATTATAATAAACGTTGAAGTCAGGTAGTATAAGTCCTCCAACTTTCTTCTTTTCCAAAGTTTTTTTACTATTCCAAGTCCATGTGAATTTTAGAATCATTTTTAAAAATGTAAAGGGGTTCTGAGACCAGGGTGCTTGAGAATTGCTGCCTTTCTATATGACCATGGGTAAATCTCTAACTCCTATGTGCATCAGTTTTCTCATTTTAAAATGAGGGGAAGGGAGTAACTACTTCCATAAGGTTGTAAAGATTAAATGAATTAATTCATGGAAAGTGCCTTAAAATAGTTCTTGGTCCATTGTAGATGCTTCATAAGTGTTAATAATTATTATGACTGTTTTCAGATAAGATGTTTGAATCAATAGCTCTGATGATATCAGAACCTGCTTTGTTTTATTCTCCATTTTTTGGCTCAACTCCTAGGTAGTGGCGTTTATCTCACTTGTCTCAACCTTTACTGTTTCAAATTGGTTGCTAGCAGTTCCAGAACCAAACTTAGTAGAAAAGAAAGTATACTGTTTTTTTTACTATCTCAGAAGTCCTGTTCTTGAGTTTTATTAGCCTTAATTGATCTGATTTGGGTTATGTGTCTTCCTGAACTAATCACACAAGATAGGTCGATATGTGACTGGTTTGAGCCATCTTTGGTCTACCTCCAAAACTGTAGAGTGGGTCAGTCCTCAAACTATATGCCTGAGAAAACTCGGATTAGTGGGTAAGGGGGTATGGATGTTAGGACTGCAACTCATATATGTCCACCATATCTGTATAATCTAAGTTCTTCCCAGACATGTATTTTTATATATAACACACACATTTATATATGCATACATACACATACATTCACTCCCCCCCACACACAAACACACACACATATAGATATTTGATAACAGATTCCTAAAGGGAAAATAATGACTTTTCATTTGCTTTCAGTTAATAATGGGACTTGGCACTCAGGGGGCAGAGAAGAAGAGTGCAGCGTCGATTGCCTGTTTCTTGGCTGCTAATGGTGCTGACCTTAGCGTTCGAAATAAGAAGGGTCAGTCCCCACTTGATCTCTGTCCTGATCCAAGTCTCTGCAAAGCACTGGCAAAGTGTCATAAAGAAAAAGTCAGGTTTGTATTATTTATTTTCATAAAACTTAATATTCCATAC